ATCCAAAGATGTCTATCGCTATAATTCGAGAATGAACGGTAATAGCCGTAGATCATCACCATTCACTTATTATGATGTTTTTAAAATTCTGGAATAGAAGGAGATTTCAATATTTAATAAAAGTTTTTCAATAATTTAATTTACCTAAAATAAACACTTAAAACTCAGAATTCATAGATTCTTTCCAGTATTACCTCATAAATTCCTGCTAAAATATAAAAATTTACAATACACAAGAGGGACACCTGGGTGGCTTAGTTGCTTAAGCGTCTGACTCTTAGTTTCAGCTCAGATCATGATCTCCCGCTCCCTGAGTTCGAGCCCCACATCCGGCTCTACACTGATGGCGTGGAGCCTGCTTGGGATTCTGTCTCTCCCTCTCTCTTCCCCTACCCCCTTGTACGTGTGCTCTCTCTCTCTCACTCTCTCTTTCTCAAAATAAACTTTAAAATTTTTTAGAAATATTGGGGGATTTCACGGAAAGAAAAAAAAATCCGAAGAGAACTCCTAGGAATGAGAAATCTGACAGTTGAGTGTAGAAACGTGACGGATAAAGAAACACCATATTACACACAGATGAAGAGTAAGACACTGGAATTTCAGCCATTAACCGCCAAGCAGTTACTTTACCAGCAAAATGGGTGTATTCAGAGGACAGCCACTCAGAACAGCTAAGCTGCACCAGAACTCCAGGCGATCCCACAAAGGGGAGGAGCCTTCTTTCATAGCAAACAAGGAGGGAGTTGGGAGGGCTTTTCTGAAGGAAAGTCCACTGGAGACCAGCAGCGGTGCAGGGTGATGAGGTTTCTGGCAGCTGAGTTGCAGGGGTGGTGGATTTCTCAGAGGCAGTGGCCACCTTTCCCTGCTGGGTGTGGAGGTGATGACTCCCTCCGGAGGCTAGAGGCTGACTTGGAGGGGGCTCCCCATCCGTATCCCCCTCTGGCTTCTGGAGTCCACGTTAGTGAGTTTCCCTTCACTAATGTTCACAAAGCTGAGCAAATTAATGAAACTCACAGATAAAAGGAGATGGGAAATACAGAGACTGGAATATCTGGAACCAGAAAGGAACAGTCTGATACAGAAGGAAGCAAACCGCCAGAAGTGGAGGGAATGGGGGCCTGGGCGGAACTGGCAGGCAGAACCACAAGCTTCCCAAGGCCTCGAGGGGCAGGTGCAGGGGAGACCGGGCTATTTCTGCTCACAAAGCTTCCTTTTTCTGGGATGATGAGACATGGGGAGGGACGACAGGGAAGGAAAGCCCTAGAACACAAACAAGCAGCAACGCACGTCTAGCTGCACATCCCCAGGGAACCCGCCTTCCTGTCCCCCAACACCAGGCCCCATCACTCAGTCCCTGTCTCTCCCAGGCCTTGGGGCCTGGTGGTAAACGGCCGTTATTTGGTGCACTGCATTGTCTGCACTTCAGCCGTGCCGGAAACCAGGCAAAGTGTGTCGTGCTGTCGTGAGCTTCTGAGACGTGTCTCTTGTCCCTCAGTGCCGTCCTGTCACCTGACCCTCCACGGTCGCGCGTCCTTCCCACGTGGGCCCTGGGACAGCGCTCCCCACTCGCGTTGGGAAGCCCGCTGTGTGCCCGGACACGATGACGCGCTTCTCCTGCGCCACGTCCCGTGGCGGCTCCTGCTCACTACAGCGCAGAAGGACTGGTGCACGCACTCGTTTCCAACCCTGCAAATTCAGCGGTGGGAACGCACCGCCGCAGAGACCCTGCTCCCCGACTGGGCCTTGGCCGGTGGTCCCCACTTCCGCCGGCTCTTCCTATCGCCCACACTCTTGTTGGCAGCGTAATGCAGTGGAAATACGTGCGTGGAAGCCGCTGGATCCCAGGGCCCCTTAAGAGCCGCGCTTCCAGCAGAGGGGCCGCCTGGACCCTCGGTGGGCAGAAGACTGGGGGCGGGGCCCGTCCCCGCTGGGGGCGGGGCCCGAGGCGCGGCTGCAGTTGGCCCGCGGGCCTCGAGAGGGCGCCCACGACTTCCGCCGCCTGGGCCGCCGCTGGGGGTGGAGGGTCGGCAGCAGGCGGGGCGGCCTGGCCTGGGCCGCTGTGGCTTCAGCCTGCGTCTCTGCCTAAGCAAGGCGTGCCCACCGTTCGGGGCTGAGGCACGCGCACGTGGCAGCTTGCTGAAGGGGCCTGGGCAGTCGTGACTCCTCGCCCGCCGAAGACTCCCCGGGGCAACGACTGGAGCAGGGACAGGATCCCACTGCAGTACCCTTGAAGACACTCAGATCCTGGCCCTTCCCACCCACACCCGCACGCAGCCTCCTTGCTGCCTCCAGAGCCCCAGCTGCGGCTACCCCATCGCCCCCTCCCCTCCCCAAATCACGGTCAGGGCTGGGGGCCCAGCAGGAGCCAGGGCCGCGGGGCCCCTGTGACACGTTGGGGGCCCTGGGGGTGGCAGGAACCCAGGGCTTGTGTCCCCTCATCTGAAAATGGGAACGATGATGGCCAGAGCCACCTCGGGGGAACCCCGCCTGACGTGGGTGAGGTGCCCTGGGACCCCAAACCCGGGATCCACCCTCCAGAGGGTGGGAGCCCACGCCCACAGCCCCCATCGTGGACTTGATCCTCCCGCCACTGGCCTGAGCTCTGGGTCCGCACCCCTGAGCGCAGGCTTCCGGGGGGGAAAGGAGGGCCTGGGCACTGAGCGCCGCCCCTGCGGGGGGCCACCCGGGGGGGGGGGGTGTGCCAGGCAAGCGGTGCCTCATTTCCCCGCCTGAGGAGTGGCTTGCTCGTGTCCTGGGCACTCGCTGCCCCAGAGCTGAGGCAGCAGAGCCAGCGAGACGGGGTGCCGGCCACATCGGTGCCACCCACAGTTGGGTCGCTGGAGTCCCCTAAGGGCCCTGAAAGCCCTCCCGGGCGGGGACCCTTGTCGGCTCACGTGGGCGTTCCCCGCACAAAGCCTATGATCTGGGAAGAGCGGACAGAAGGCACGTAGGTTTGTGGGACTCATGGCTGCCCACTGCTTCCCGCTCTGGTCCTTGTAGACAGGAGAGGAGAACAGTGCAGGCCCCTGCGTCTCTCGATTAGATAAGGGGCCCCATCCATCTTGCTCCCTTCCCCCACCGGGGAGGAGGGAAGTGCTCACAACCCGGCCAGCCCCACTCAGCCCACGATCCAGACCCTGCCCTGCTCTCCACATCCAGCAGCCAGCAGGCCTTGCGAAACCGTGGCACAAGGTGCCCATCCGTCTCTTCTGGAGGCCTCCAGCCCTGACCCCCGCTGCGGGTTTCCTGGCCTGGTCCAGGGACAACTTCTCCCATGACGCGATCAGGCCGCAGGCCCAGGCCTCCGGCGAGATAAAAGAATTGGGCCGACGGGGGGCGGAGGGAGCAGCAGGATGGCATTCGGGGCAAAGGCACGAGTGTGGCTGGCAGGGCCCTGGCCGTCCCCGGGCAGGGCGCGCGCACCGGGCGCCGGAGCCGCTCCGGCCCCCAAGGCGGTGCTGCCCTTCGAAGCCATCCCGCGCTGTCCCGGCAACAGGTGGATGAGGTTGCTGCAGATCTGGAAGGAGCAGCGCCTGGAGAACTTTCACCTGGAGGTGCACCAGCTCTTCCAGGAGCTGGGGCCCATTTTTAGGTAAAGGCCTCCCCGCCCACCTCAGCCACAGCACCCGTGCGGCTCTCCCTAGCGGCTGCTGAGTCCCGGCCAGGCGCACTGCCGCCTGTGCTCTGCGTCCCCGGGGAGGCGGGGTGGGTGCCGAGCAGCGGGGGTCCTGGGCCTGGCACCTGGAGACTGCGGCTCTTGGGGAGGAGGGAGCACTCCCTGGCCGCGGCTGAGAGGGCAGAGCGCGGACAGCAGAGCAGGAGAGGCTTGGGTCAGACCGCGGGAGGGACTGCCCGCTCCGGGAGAGCCTCAGTCCGGGAGAAGGGACAGGCCCACGGGAGACGGGCCGCCTTGGTCCTGCACAGTGAGGCCCGGGGGAGGGCACGGGTCCCCCAGCAGGGCTGTGAGCTTCGTCCCACAGGTATGACGTGGGAGGGACACGCATGGTGCTCCTGATGCTGCCCGAGGATGTGCAGAGGCTACAGCAAGTGGACGGCCATCAACCGTGGCGGCCGCCCCTGGACCCCTGGCTGGCCTACCGACAGCATCGCGGGCACAAATGTGGCGTGTTCTTGCTGTGAGAGGGAGTCTGGGCGGGCAGGGGGGGGGAGGGGCGGGGCAGGGCTGATGGCAAGCGGGCCTGCCCAAGGCCCGTCCAGGTTGGGGCGGGAGAGCGGCCGCCGGCTCCCGCTGGGTGCCCACCCCTTGGGGATCGTATGTGTCCTGAGGCTGAGGAGGGGCAGCGGGGCCACGGCCTCAGAGAGGAGGACGGGTGATCGCTGCCATCAGGGAGCCCCAGGCTGCGCAGGCCTCCGCGGACTCCCCGTGCGGGGTGGGCTTCTCCCTTCCTACAGGTCAGGGTAGGAAGCCCAGGGCAGCGGGAGGAGAGTCGGGGCTAGGGGCTCGGGAACGTGTCAGCACGTGCTGGGGCCTGAGGACCCACTGGCATTGACTAGAGCCCAGGTGGCTGAGGAGGAGAGAGGCCGGGGCTGGGGAGGGGGCGTTGGGGAGAAGGGGGACGGGGGAAGAAGGCACCTTTGCCCAGGAGCTAAGCTGTAGGTGGGTGTGTGTGTGAGCACGTGTGTGTGTGTGTGTGCGCGCGCGTGTGTGTGTGCGTGTGTGTGTGTGTATCCTCTTGGGTGGACAGGGGACGTGGGACCGGCCCAGAAGCCTCATTCTCAGAGCAGGGAGGGTTGGAAGGAGAAGGTTGCCGGGGGCCCCTCACTCTGGAGCTGGCTGGCCCACCTCTCCCCTGCCTTCAGGGACAGGGAGAGCCCGGACAGCTGCTGACGTGCCAGGCAAGGGGCCTGCAGGTGTGCGTGAACAAACTCCACGAACCCAGGCGGCACTGCCAGGCAGAAGTTCTGGGCTCAGCCCCACCTTCCACGGGGGCACCCTGGGCCCAGCACACAAGGCCTCCCTGAGGGAAAGGGCTGGCGCTCACGCCCCCAGGCAGGCAGCCTGCCCCCTGGGACCAGCGGGCCGCTCCCTGCCTCGCCCCTTCCCCTTGGAGACGAGGAAGATGGGTCCAGGGCTGGCCCCAGGCTGCTGACTCGGGCTCCCCTGAAGCGCCTCTCTCTGCTCTACAGAAACGGGCCCGAATGGCGCATGAACCGACTGAAGCTGAACCCAGACGTGCTGTCGCCTCAGGCCGTCCAGAAGTACCTGCCCATGGTGGACTGGGTGGCAAGGGATTTCTCGAAGGCCCTGAGGTCGAGAGTGCTGCAGAATGCCCGGGGGAGTCTGACCGTGGACATCCAGCCCAGCATCCTCTCCTACACCATAGAAGGTC